AACTGTTTAACAAGTTTGACAACTGTTTAACAAGTTTAACATTTTTCATTCAGCTCTTCACTCAGTTAAAGGCACTGAGAATCGGTAGAACTTTTAAATCTCTAAAGAATCTCTAAAATCTCTAATCGGTAGAACGTTGTTGTACTTTTAAATCTCTAAAGCTTAATGACTCTTCCAAAAACTATTTCAGAATTCCTCTTTCAGACACATGGGAACGAACGAGATGTGTAATTTCTATATGATGTTTTACTGGGAGGCGACGAAACCCGATCCGTTCCCATATGGAGCTGTTTGTGGTGGAAATGAACAACCGTAGGTTGTTAATTGTCAATCAATTGATCATAAACAATTGATTGAACAATTGATTGAACAATTGATCAATTAATCAAAAACATATTAGCATATTATTTGAATTGAAAACAAGCAGAGGGACTAGATCAAAAGAGCGCCGCTTAAAAGGGATAAGAGCTCCCTCTTTCAGATCTTAGGACGAGATCTTGGCTCTGATGAGGCTCTGAAAAATATTCTACCTAAGACGAGCTCTTACGACGCTCTTACGACGCTTTAAGAGCGCTTACGACGCTTTAAGAGCTCTTTCGACGCTTTAGAGCTCTTTCGACGCTTTAAGAGCTAATTACGACGCTTTATGAGCTCTTACGACGCTTTAAGAGCTCTTTCGACGCTTTATGAGCTCTTACGACGCTTTAAGAGCGCTTACGACGCTTTAAGAGCTCTTACGACGCTTTAAGAGCGCTTACGACGCTTTAAGAGCGCTTACGACGCTTTAAGAGCGCTTACGACGCTTTGAAGAGCTCTTTCGACGCTTTATGAGCTCTTACGACGCTTTAAGAGCGCTTACGACGCTTTAAGAGCTCTTTCGACGCTTTATGAGCTCTTACGACGCTTTAAGAGCTCTTACGACGCTTTAACAGCTCTTACGATGCTCTTTTGACCTTTTGCAATCCCCGCGTTCTTTTGATATACTCCTCAAGCAGAATCTAAGCAACTTTTTATGCAAATTTCATACAAAATGCAAAGTGAGTCAGCTTTGGCAATGGCAACTAGTTGATTGATCAATTTAGCACCGGGAATTTTCATTCCTCGAGCACTGTATTAGTTTTTCAAGCTGAAAAGCCAAAAAACAAGTTCTAAATTGAAAATTCTCTTACAAGGGAATTGTTTGAGCTCGGAATCGATCTGGGAAAAGGTGATTTATCTACATAAACCCATCTTAGGGGAATATTCTTAGTTTTCGATGCACAAATCAAAAATTATTGGCCAAAACATTGTCGCCCCCGATTTTCCATGACTGCTATTCAAAAATTATTGGCCAAAACATTGTCGCCCCCGATTTCCCCATGTCTACTATTCAAAAAATTATTGGCCAAAACATTGTCGCCCCCGATTTCCCCATGTCTACTATTCAAAAATTATTGGCCAAAACATTGTCGCCCCCGATTTCCCCATGTCTACTATTCAGTACACCGTCTGGTCGATCCGCTGGGCTCGCGACAAATCCGTTTTAAGCGCGCGGACCGGATTTTTCGAAAATCGCTAAAACATTCAATGCGTTTTTACAAAGATTTTAAACATAGAAAAGTGAAAATAAAACTTCCCTGACTAAAAACGTATTCCCTGACTTTTTTAAGATGGGGTTATGTAGATAGATCACCTACCCCAGACCGATTCCCGAGCTCAAACAATTCCCTTGTTAATTTTCTCTTAATATTTATTTCCAGTGAACTCTTCGGTACAGAATACCCGGAAAGAAGGCTTCGAGTTGTTGCCACCGCGGCCAGAGTTGGAGCACACGGCTTTGCAAAGCGGGGTGAGGAGTTGAAAGTTGTAGAAGTGGAAGGAGAAGTTCTAAAAGTGAAGCTGAAAAGTTGCAGAGGTTCTAAAAGTGAAGCTAGATTGTCTAAAAGTACTTTTGAAGCCAGATAATGACACAACTTTAGGCTAAAACCTTGTTTTGTTCAGAAAAACTGCTTGTTTTGATTGTTTTGATTGCTTTGTTTTCGCATGGCTCAGGCAATTCCTTTAGAAATAATCCTGAATGAAGCTCAGAAATAATCCTGAATGAAGCTGGTTAGCCAAAACAGGCTCAGACAAAAAACTAACTAGAGCTGATCAGGCTAACTAGAGCTAATCAGGCTAACTAGAGCTGATCTTCTTTTATCACTGAAAGTTGTTCGCAGTCATTTCCGAGAACTGTTACTTACTTCCGAATACTTTAAAATACCTTTAAATACTTTAAAATACCTCAAAAATTGGTGCTTTCACAAAAAGGAGAAAGTGGCGGTGAGGGGATTCGAACCAGGGACAAGGCTGAATCAAGGAGAAGTTCTAAAATCAAGGAAGGCAAGCCCACTATCCGCTACACCATAGAGTCACTTGAGGAAAGTAATTCAGCTTTATATTACGGTGGCGAGGTTTAAATTTTAGAAGCATTTTTCTTGAAAACTGAGTGAAACCATAGAGTGAAACAGAAAAACAGTATTCTTAGAATTGTTGGCTTTTGTGGCTGTTGATTTGGTGGCTTTTTTGTGCTAGTTTCTATATCCTAAATCAATGCTAGAGCGGCTTTTGTGGCTGTTGACTTGGTGGCTTTTTTGTGCTAGTTTTTATATCCCAAATCAATGCTAGAGCAATTCCCTTAGCTTAGCTTGAGCAATAAATTAGCTTACAATTTGCCCAGAGCCAAGTCAGACTTGTTTTTCTGGACTTCTGGGCCTTGCCTTTCCTGTTCTTGCCTAGAAATTATCAATCAACCATTCCAGAGACCTTTCGGCATCATTGAAGAAGCAAAAATTCAAAAAATCGGTGACATCACTCTAGGACAAATCTCTGGATTAGCATTCGATCAACAGAAAAATCTTTTCATTTTCCATAGAGGCTCGAGGGTTTGGGATGGAAGGTAAAAGCTTGAAAAGATTGGAAAGATTCTAATTCATTCTCTTTTTAGTACATTTGATGCCTCAAATCATTTACAAGACAAGAAACCAATTGCCGAGCCGACATTATTGATGACAAGATTCGATGGGAACACTCCGGTGCTCGTTGAGGCACTTGGAGGAAATCAGTGAGTGATTTGAGACTGTAAAATTAGAGAGATAAGGAAGGGAATATAGAGAGATAAGGAAGGGAATGTAGAGAGATAAGGAACCAAATTTGGAGAGATAAGGAAGCAGATATAGAGACAAAAGGAACCAAATTTAAAGAGATAAGGAACCAAAATTTAAAGAGATGGTCCTCATCTCCCAAAAAATCGTTCTCTCCTTCTCGAAATCGTTGAAACCATCGCCGACACTGGCTTTCCGAAATAGCATCTTCCAAAATACTTTCCAAAGGCCTCAATGAGATTCAACGATCCTTTTGCCCAATTTGAAGTCATACCAAAGACTGGCACGGAGACGAAATTCGCTGTCGCGTGTCGCTTACAGAAATTAAATCTATTAAATCTATCATAAAGGATCATTTTTCCATCGTAATTCTTTTCAAAAGCATCGATTTTTCGTTTAAGAATCTACAAAATTATATTTATAATATAATTATTCATCTATAATTTGAAATTCTTAGATTCTTAGACTCAAATCTTAGATTCTACCTTCCTCATGGTGTCTTTGTCGATGTTGATGGCTACATATATACAACGGATGTTGGAGCGCATACGGTCACAAAATGGAAGAAAAACGGAAGTGAGTTTAAGAAGTGAACTTTGAACTGAAGTAAACGCATCCCCTTCTAGTGCATTCAATTCAATGCTCTGTTTTACGTATTATAAAATATTATTAGAGTTAGTGGACAGAAAAGTATTAGGATTTTACCACAAAATTTATCCAGTTATTGAATAATTTCCATATTTTTTAGAAAAACTCGATCTTGTTTGGCGTTTTGGAGAGGAATTTGTACCGGGCAGCGATCATGGACATCTTTGTAAACCGACTGGAGTGACGAAGAATGGAGATCGGTCAGTTGAAAGCTCTTTTAAAAGTGATTAGACTAGGCTTGAAGTCAGTCTTGTCTTGTTAGAAATAGTCCTTGGGTTTGACTTCAGATTTGGAGCTGGCTTTGTCCGAAACTAGTCAATTGATTGAAAAGAAGTGATTGAAAAGAAGAAGCTAGTCAACTAATGAAACCTTGCTTTGTCCTCTGCTTTGTCCTTTGCTTTGTCCTCTGCTTTGTCCTCTGCTTTGTCCTCTGCTTTGTCTTTTCTCCTTTGCTTTGTCCTTTGCTTTGTCCTCTGCTTTGTCCTTTGCTTTGTCCTCTGCTTTGTCCTCTGCTTTGTCCCTCTGCTTTGTCTTTTCTCCTTTGCTTTGTCCTTTGCTTTGTCCTCTGCTTTGTCCTCTGCTTTGTCCTCTGCTTTGTCTTTTCTCCTTTGCTTTGTCCTTTGCTTTGTCCTCTGCTTTGTCCTCTGCTTTGTCCTCTGCTTTGTCTTTTCTCCTTTGCTTTGTCCTTTGCTTTGTCCTCTGCTTTGTCCTTTGCTTTGTCCTCTGCTTTGTCCTCTGCTTTGTCCTTTGCTTTGTCCTCTGCTTTGTCCTTTGCTTTGTCCTCTGCTTTGTCCTTTGCTTTGTCCTTTGCTTTGTCCTCTGCTTTGTCCTCTGCTTTGTCCTCTGCTTTGTCCTTTGCTTTGTCCTCTGCTTTGTCCTCTGCTTTGTCCTTTGCTTTGTCCTCTGCTTTGTCCTCTGCTTTGTCCTCTGATTTGTCCTTTGCTTTGTCCTTTGCTTTGTCCTCTACTTTGTCTTTTCTCCTTTGCTTTGTCCTCTGCTTTGTCTTTTCTCCTTTGCTTTGTCCTCTGCTTTGTCCTTTGCTTTGTCCTCTGCTTTGTCCTCTGCTTTGTCCTCTGCTTTGTCCTCTGCTTTGTCCTCTGCTTTGTCCTTTGCTTTGTCCTCTGCTTTGTCCTCTGCTTTGTCCTTTGCTTTGTCCTCTGCTTTGTCCTCTGCTTTGTCCTTTGCTTTGTCCTCTGCTTTGTCCTCTGCTTTGTCCTTTGCTTTGTCCTCTGCTTTGTCCTCTGCTTTGTCCTTTGCTTTGTCCTTTGCTTTGTCCTCTACTTTGTCTTTTCTCCTTTGCTTTGTCCTTTGTCCTTTGCTTTGTCTTTTCTCCATTCCTTTGTCCAAAACTAGTCAACTAAATGAAAGATCTTGATTCTAAAAGATTCTGAAAAACTGATCATCATTAAATTAATCATTAAAATAAAAAACATTCAGCATCTTCATCTCTGATGGTTACTGCAACGCGCGAGTGGTCGAGCTGACAGCTGACGGGAAATACAAGGTACACTTTGAAGCCAATTTTCCCCTAGCCAATGTTGGCAAAGCCGTAAATCAATTTGATATGTAATATCTAAAGCTGATCTACAGTGGCGGACAATTAAATAGAACCGATGCTCCATTTGCACAAAGACCATTTAGTATTTATTTAATAACTCAACAATTAACAAATTTGTGTTTGAAAAATGACGACATTTAAATAGAACCGATTAATAAAATTAATATGAAGTGGCAAAACTTTTGTTTTTGATGACTTCCAAGAGTCTACGCTTCATTGATTTAACTAACTTCTTGCAACGATCAGCTGGTATCTTGTTCCAAGCCGTTTCGATAACTTTGAATAGAGCATCTTTTTGAATAGGGCTTCCTTTTGGTTTCTGGGCCCTTATTTGTATTGTATAGCTGGCCCCTCTCAACTCGTTCAATATTTAGGCTCAATTCGGCGCTCGGGTACAGGCGAAGGGCAATTCCAGCTACCGCACGATCTTGTCCTTTCACCGAAGAAAACCCTTCTTGTCGCTGATCGACAAAACGGAAGAGTACAGGTAAATTGAATACTGTAAAACGATGGATAGATGATAGAGTATTTCTTGAAAACCCAGAGAATCGTAATCCAGAGAGCCGTAACCCAGAGAACATCAATTCTTGATCAGAACATCAATTCATCAATTCGCCTATTCTCACAATTTTCAGGAACTCAACATGGAAGGCCTTGTTCAATCAGTCGTCTCCTCATCACTTTTCACGAATATCTACTCGAGTGACTCGTTTGAAGACACGATTTTCATGGTTCCCGGCGAGAATTCGTACAATCGCTTCACGCAAGACGAGATTCCGATCAGTGTTTGTTTTAGAAAAAGAAGCAAAGGATAAGATAAACTAGGAAAGCTCAAAAACTTCTTCGCTGCCGGGACCCAAGCCCGCAACCTTTCACTTAGCGATCAACTGTGTTAACCATTACACCAAAACGCACTTCATCTCCTTTAGTTAATCAAAGGATAAGATATGAAACAGCCAAAAAGCTGAATGTTTTGGTGGTGATGAATCGTCGCTAGATGCTTCTTTAGCTGGTTATTTTGGAGGCCGACAGATAGTCACCGTGGCGCAGTAGGAAGTGCGGTTGTTTACAACCCCCCTAGCCCCGAGTGGGGTCGGGTTCGACCCCCCGTAGCGCTTCTCGGTCCTGATTTTTCAATTTGTTTGTTTTAAATCGTACAATTGCTCTTTTATATAGTAGTTTTGAAAACTTTTCAGGTTTACGGCTCTCGACTTGGCACCGGATTGCTCGAGTTCGCTTTTTCGCCCACTTCCGAGCGTTTCGGTCGGCCGCACGTCTTGAGGTAATCATTATAGCTATTTTTAGATCATTATAGCTATTTTCTAACAACAATATTGTTATTTTTATTCATTTCTGTGTTTATTTTTTCTGTTTTTAATATATTTACAACTTCTAGAGTCTCCCCCGACGGGAATCACATCTTCATCGGTGACATCAGCGAGAAAGGCGCCACTTTGTGGAAGTTTCGGGTTTGAATTTAACTTTATCAGTTACTTTTTAATTTTATCCTTTAAAATTCTACCTTAATTTTATAATATAATATAAATTTTATAATATAATAGAATAGAATTTTAGATTCAACACGATTCTTCAACAGAAAGTCATACATTGTCTGGAGCAACCTACTACGAGAAAGCGTCGGCAGCATATGGGGCGGTAAGTGGCGTTAATACAGCGTGCGCCAAAAGTTCCCGTACTTGTATTAGGTTGATGCATAAGTGTTTTTGTTCCTTTTCGTCTGCCGTTTCAAGCCAACAAATGCACCAATTAAACCAATTAAACTACGGTTGATTTCATTAGAAAAAGCAATTATTTTTCTGCAAAATAACATTAAAACGGGTTTAAAAATATTTAATGCCTGGATTTTCTTGAGAGTATGAAGTCGGGTAGTCAAAAAGGGCTAACTCGATGATGCGGTTTAGGCTCAGGCTCAGGCTCAGGCTAAGCCTCAGCCTAAGCCTGAGCCTGAGCCTGAGCGGTTTAGACACCTTAGCTAAAGAAAACCTATCTTCGTGTCAATAGATAAAAGATAGAGAGAAAAAAAACGTTTGATATTTCGCCAAAATTTCAGAGAAATTCATTCAGCCAATTTTTCCGTAGAGTTTTTTTATAGATTTTTACGAAAAAGGCGTTTTTCACTCTCGAATTTGCTTGAAAGTAAACCGAAATTCATTTAAAAAGATGCAAATTGAACAAAAAAAAACACTTTTTTTGATAGAGCAAACTATAGATTAATTGGTGAATTTGTTACTTTTTAACAGAAGTACGAAAAAAACGAAAACACTTATGCATCAACCAATTATTTTCTGCATTTCTGCATGTTCAAGGCTTATTTGAATGCAGTTCTGATCAAAATTTACTTTAAAACGTTTACATTAAAAACAAATAGAATCTAAGAGTCGAAGAAAATGATTTTTTGATTTTCAGATCAAGAATAAAGCCTCAACAGCTCCACTCACATTGACGTTTTTCTTGCTTCTCGGAGTAGTTGCTGGTGGGATTTACGTGTGGATGAAGAAAGGTCGACGGAGAGCAAATCCGCAAAATGCGTTTGATCGAAAGGTTTTTGTCACAAAAATTCGACACAAAATTCTTCTTTATAGGAGTCTTTTCATGCAATAACTTGAGTAAATACAAGTAATAGAACGATTTTTAAAAATACCGACTGGGGCTACCAGTGGTGAATTTATCGCATACACGAAATATATCAATCACAATACAACGACACACACAATACTAGGCTATATCTTAACTTAACCCACGTCATGACAGACGGCTCCCTAACCCTAAGCTCAATGGGGAACTAAATAGCTTTTTTTGGTGGTGAAGGGAAGATGACGATGAAGGAGTGGCTTGTCACTTTAAAGAACTGGGGCCACAACCACCAGACTGCCCTCCAGAAAACCTCTCAACCCGAAGGGAAAGGAAATCCGAAGGGGGGTGACCATGTCGCATGTGGGGGTTCGAACCCTCGACCTTCCGATTAAGATAAAAGACACTTAACCAGTCAGCCACACGTGCTCCTATAACAAATAAATCAACGATTAACAAATAAATCAACGATTTCTTTTATATTAATCGTTCAACAGCAAGCGGTAGCGCGTATTTTAATGTTCAAATAACGATTTGATGAGAAACAAAACGTTCCCGACCGGAAATCCCAGATAAAGTCCGGATTTTGGTCTTTGAATCAAGGATTTTGAACCGGATTCCTGAACTGAATGAAAATGAATTTCTCAAATCGATTTTGTGATCCCACCTATTTAATATCTTTAATTATTGATAAACTTGGGGCCAAAGTTTACCGCGTGAATTATTCATAAACTTTAAGTCTAAGCTTTTTATGAACTTTGAACCTGGAAATCTCTATGAAAACTATGACGTTTCTATGAAAGAAATAGGAAAGACTTTTCTACCTTTCCTATTTCCTCTTTTAAACCTCTAGTTCATGTTTTTATGAAAACACCTTCAGTTTTATCAAAGAAAAGCTAGCCCTTTTTCTTTTGAAGAAGTGGGGCATTTGCAAAAACCAAACGCTTGAGGCGGGGTCGAGCCCGGCACCTCTGGCCTAGAGACTCGAGCCCTGCCACTGCGCCGTTTGAATAGATTGAAGGGTCGGCTTTTCGGCACCCTTTATCCTCCCTCATCCTCCCTGGGGCCCCTGTGGCCATGACGTCACCATGCCCAATCCCCTGAGCACCCCTACCGAAACTTACGTCTTTACTTTTGCCTCTTAACTCTGGCTCTATTCTTGCCCCAAAATTTCCCTGTATTTTCCCCCACAAATTCTTGATCTTGTAAAGCCATTTCCGGACGCAAACAGCGCGTAGATTGAGCGAGTAAAGTGATTTAAGTTTAGCGTTTCAAATTGCATTCAATTTTTCAATTGTATGGTTTTTCCAGGGCTTCAAACGTCTCAAATCCGAGAGGACACGTAGTAGTTTTCTTCACAAGGGATAGTGAAAGTGATTAAAAACGAAGTGGGAAACAGCGGATTAATTGAGTATTCATTCATTTTTCTTTTTTTCTTCATTCATCAAGCAAAATCTCGATTTTCGTCAACTATTTATATTGCAAAATTCGCCGTTTAAAAGAAACGGCGAATTTTTGTGCTTTGGGCTGGCCAGCTTAAGTTCGTCAGCGGCGTCAAAGGTGAAAAGAAAGGCCGTGCTTAAGGCCATCAAGGTGCTTAAGGCCAATTCTATACTTTTTGCGGTCTTGTTTGCAAAAATCTTTAAAATGTGATGATGTACAGCTGTCTCCAAAATTTGCATTCAAAGAATAATAAGATCAAAAAAGTATTCAGTCTTTTTCTGCATTTTCCTTTAAAATCCATCTTTTCGGGTCTTTTGGGGTAGTTTTTTTCTGATTTTCATTTTCTCTTTACTGCAGCTTAGCTCTAAATAGCTAGATAAATTTTACATATCAATAAGGGATTACGGTAGTTTTAATATCCTATTCAATTTTTTTCACCTAGACTAGAGCTAAGGCTAAAATTAAGGCTAAAATTCACTTTTTAAATAACGCAATCCATTTCTAAAGCCTTAAAACGTTTAAAAACCTACCGTAACCATTTCCAAAGCCTAAATTTGGATTTAACCGAAAACTACCGTAACCCCAAATATAAATTTGTTTTTATTTTCCTTTTCTTGAATATTTCTTTTTTTCTTTCTTTTGTTGTGAAAATTGTTGTGTAAAAATGAGGAAAGAAGTAAATTGTGATCGATTTTTAAATAACATAATCGTTTTTACCCTGTTTTCTTGATTAAAGCTTTTATCTTAAACGGAAATATCACAGATTTTCTCGCAAAGTTTTCAAAAACCGGTGAAAATTAGATTTGACAAAAGCGGGTCGTAAGCGGAAACGAACCAGGACCGGGGCAATCCTGTTCAGTCTGCTGAAAAAGGGCGTCAACCGACTGCGCCAAGCGGACATGGAGACCCGCTGCGGAAATGGGTATTCAAAGAGAGGGGGCAGAAATTTCCATTGAAGTAAGTAACCTCAGAATTTGCATCGAACGACTATAATACTTAAAATTACTAGAGTACGCTAAACTTTAGTTATATATTATGCTTTGTACTTGTGCGCTGTGCACATTATAGTACAGAGCACATTTGAGCACATTTGTGTTCAGCACAGAGTACATTCCAGTATTTATCACATTCTAGTCGGGAGTAATAGTCCAGTACAGAGTAAAGTCCAGTGCAGAGTACAGTCCAGTGCAGAGGATAGTCCAGTACAGAGTACATTCCAGTACAGAGCACATTCCAGTACACAGAGTACATTTCAGTACAGAGTACATTTCAGTACACAGTGCACTCCAGTACGTAGCACATTCCAGTATACAGTACATTCCAGGACACAATACAATACAGTAAAGAGTACATTCTACTTCACACAGTGCACAGTACACTGTACAGTACATTCCAGTACACTGTACAGTACATTCCAGCACACTGTACAGTACATTCCAGTACACTGTACAGTACATTCCAGTACACAGTACAGTACATTACAGTACATTACAGTACACAGTACAGTACAGTCCAGTACACAGTACAGTACAGTCCAGTACAGTCCAGTACACAGTACAGTACAGTCTGATACACATTGTGTAATAGTAAAGAAACCAGTACAGTCCAGTACATTGGCACAGTACAGTTCAGTACACAGTACATCACAGTAAAGAGTACACAGTACCGTAAAATAGCAAGAGTACACACCAGCACACAGCATATTCTAGTACAGAGCATACTTGTGGGTACACAGTATAGAGCACAGACCAGTATACAGTACAGAGTACAGTCCAGTACACAGTACATTATAGTACAGAGTACATTACAGGACACGGTACTTGTACTTGTGCACAGTATAGTACTTCGAAAACTTGTAAGTTTCTTTGTGAAAAATCTCAGATAAAACTACTGTATTCCTATTTTGAGCTAACTGAGTATCCTTAATGAAAAATCTCCAATATTACCTAAAAAAAAAAAGATAAATAAAACTTCAAATGATAAAACAATTCTGTTTACAATTCAAATTCAATTCAAAACAATTCATGATCATGTTTACAAATCAAGTAATGATTGCTGTTGAGCGACTGCGAATCTCTGTTGAGTCAAAGTCGGATCAGCTTGCTGTTGTTGGAGTAGCTGAGCGTAATGAGCATCATCCTGGCCATTTGTAAGGTATCTGAAAGATTTATGAGTACTTTGAAGTCTTCATTCTTACTATAAGACCAAAAATTTGACTCTTTTGGTAGTTTCTGGGTCTTTTGAAAGAATTCTGTCTTTGAATCTGGGTCGCCAAGCTTTGATGGCTTATAACTTTGTCTAGTGATCATATTTTTGTTAACTTTTTATATCATTGTAAAGATAACATTTCAGGCTTTTAAATGATACCTGTGTGGGGGGGATTGAATAATCCGGTCCAAGAAAATCGAGCAGTACTGGATCCGGGTTGGATCGATCTCTGTTTGATGAGAGTTGTTTCTGATTTTATTGGACTGGATTACTGAATCAAGCTCTATTTGGTATCATTTAAAAGCCTGAAATGTTCTCTGTACAATGATATAAAAGGTTTTCAAAAATATCATTGTTGGACAAAGCAGAAGGCCATCCGCGCTTGGCGACCCGTTCAAAGACCAGGATTCTTTCAAAAGACCCGGAAACTACAAAAGAGCCAAATTTTTAGTCTTATAGTAAGAATTGCATAATTCCAATCGAGAAGTTTTTGGTAGATAAACATCGCCAAGAATCAGGGCTACAATTCTCTATCTAACACTTGCCAGTTTTTAAATGAATCAGGCTTTTCCCAGTTAGCTTTTCAAAAAAAGCTTCTAGGTCCGCTGTAATTTCAGATCAGTTTGTAGTTTTAGGGCTTATTTTTAGAAAGAACTTTTGATTCTATTATTCTCTATCATTTTTTCTAACCTTTCCCCTCCTGGCTTCCCATTTCTAAAGCTCGAAGATCGTTAAAAAGAGTAGCTGATTGGAGCCATACTTATGCCAAACATTCCTCAATATTCAATCGTTTTTCAATCTGTGAAACATTCTTATATTCGATCATTTGGACTCTGATTTTACTCAATAATCAAATTCTAATCAAATTCTAATCAAATTTCAATCAAATCCTATTCAAATCAAATCAAAAATCCCAATTTCCTTCTTAAGATTGAGCCTTTAAAGAAAAGATTAACTTTGAGCAGCCTCTGAATGAGATCAACGGTTTGTTTCGAGACGGAGGACCTTTAAAATAATAGATTTAATTAGAATATTAAATTAGAATATTAAATTAGATCAAATAAATTAGAATATTAAATAAGAATATCCAATAAGAATATCCAATAAGGATATCTCAATAAGAATATCCAATAAGGATACATCCAATAAGAATCTGGGTACTTAACAAGGATCTGATGGGAATTACGAAAGCTGCATTGGGGATTTGTTCACTTCATCTAAAATCCTCTTTCATTTCAACATCTGCTAATCCTATCCACCTCTTCACCATCATTGAAAAGGAATTCCAACCATATATTTTCACATAAATGATCACTCCAACCGACCACACATGTCCAATGATTTATTATATCCTAAATATCATTCTAAATCTTTTCAAAAACAATTTACATTCAACTTTTCATTGGAAAAAGTGGCCATAAACATTTATTAGAAAAAATTTTAAGGCTGGGTTGGTGAATTGAAAACTCGGCATCAGCTTTCGGAGTATACATACATCATTCCAAAGGCTTTGACCAAATTTCAATGAGATTCCGCTACTGTTTTGCCCATTTTGGGGTCGTGGGGTAGGCAGATCGCGGAACTTTATATATTGGCTTTATTAATGTGAATTGAATTGAATTGAAAAGTGTTGGACTTTAAACTAAAATTTATTCAACATAAAACCATCAATTCGTTTCAAATAATTTCCATCATTATTGACGACTTCTGCCCATTTTACAGGCAATTAAAATATCTTCTGTTGGGGTAGGATTTTAGTTTGTGTGTGAGACAAGTGTGAGACTCAAAAATGGAGGACTGGAGATCTGGAGATCTCCCAGTTTGAGCACTTTCTTCAAAAGAAACCCATTTTGGTGTCAATAGAAAAGTTAGAGAGAATCAAAAATTAGGCTTATGGTGTCAAATTTCCAAAAAGATTCACTTTAGTAGTTTGGTTTAAAATGAAAGTTTTGTTGCTAGCTTTGTGAAAATTCGTAAATTTGGCATTTCTTGAAAACCAATTTTTTGAATCAAAACTGAAAATTTGGCTATAAGCCTGATTTTTGATTCTCACAACTTTTCCATTGACACCAAAATGGGTTTTCTTTGAAGAAAGTGTTCAAACTGTCACATATGAGAATATTCTACAGTTTTCAATTCAATTTTCCAATAAATTAAAAGGAATAATTTTAAAAGTAATTAAACAATTTTCGTTTAATTTCATTTTACTTTAAATCAATCTAAAGTAATTCTTCTTGAAATAATAAAATTCTGACGACAAATGCCTTTGGGACCGTCCACCGTACACTTTTGCCTTTCAGACGTTTCTGCGCCAAACGTCGGAATTGACCGCATTCCGACGCAATAAAAGCCGGACCCCGCCACAAAGAATTTTTTCTGTCCTTCCTCGTGTTTTATTTTTCCAATCTGTTTTTTCCATTGACACCAAAATGGGTTTCTTTTTGAAGAAAGTGTTCAAACTGGGACATTCCTCATTGTTGAGTCTCCAGTCCTCGATTTTTGAGTCTCACATTTGTCAAATTTAAGGGTAATTTCCCAAGAAATCGGAAAGGACTTTTCCACCAAACCAATACTATTTGTACTTTTAGAAGTTTGGCTATGAGTTTCCTCACTTTTGATTCGTCACAACTTCTCCATTGACACCAAAATGGGGTTTCTTTTGAAGAAAGTGCTCAAACTGTCACATATGGACAATAGCTTATAGTTTTCAATTCACCAATCCAATATATTGACTATTTTAACGATCATTTGATGCGGAATGAAATTACGTATCGAATGACACCAAAAACAACCCTAAATATAAAATCCATGCATAATGAAATATTGATCAAAAATACGGCTGAAAAAATGCCTGTACAGTAAGGCAGACAGAAAGACAGACAGAAAGACAGGACAGATACCGTAACCTCTCCCTCCCCCTTCCCTCATTTTCCAAGCCATTTCATTTTTTCTACAACTTTTCTATTGACACCTAAATGGATTTCTTTTGAAGAAAGTGCTCAAATCCTCATATGACAGTGTACATATGACAATAGCCCAGAGTTTTCAATTCACCAACCCAATATAAACATTTATTATAAAAATCCAGCTATTCCTCTTTTGTAGAACTTCTGGAGGAAGATAGGAATTTTCAACAACGATCGTTTTTCGGAATTGACTTTCACCGATGAAACTAAAAGAAAGAATTTGATTTTTTGATACTTATGGAGTCATTCACTATATTTACATCATTTTCGATATCATTTTCGAGCAAAGATATTCAAAGATATTTCACCCATCATCAATTCAGCAGCAAAAAAAGAAGTTACTAAAGATTCTATACAGCCTTTTTGTCATCTTTTAAGCTCACAATTTATTGATGTTTTCAAAACGATTGAAATATTTTTGATACCGCTAGATGCGCCAAGTCCCTCCTCGATCGATTAGTCCAAAAACTGCTGAAATTGATCATTTCAACACCAAGAAATTTGAGCCTCAAAGTTGGATTGACAATGGGGGTTGGACGCCTTTTATACTCGCCCTGTGCCCTCTGCCTTTTATATGTGAACCGAAGCGCTGTTATTGGGATATCGAACTTTGGGCTTAAATTTCTTTGGTGTTGGAGCTGTTCAATTTCGACAGTTTTTTGGACCAATCGATAGAGGAGGACTTGGCGAATCTAATGATATTAGGAATATTTCAATCGAAACACCTGACCACCAAGATATTTGAGCTCAAAAGATTGCCTACGACTCTTGTAGCGGCAAGCTATCTTTTATATGTGCCTGCCTTCTTTTTTTTCGACGGGTGTTTCTTTATATACGACTTTAGACTGGTAACGAAAGCATCTGTTTGGTCCTTTGCCGTTGGCAATTTAAGGTTTTTTCTCGCTTTTCTTCAGCACTAACCTTTCAAATTCGACTATTTTGACTATCATTAAATGCGTAGTAAAATTCCGCGTCGAATGATACAAAAATCAACTCAAAATATGACATCCACGCGGAGTTATGAGGAAAAAGATTGGGTCCCGCCCCATAATGAACGGGGTTTCGGTTTTAGGCACTGACTTTCTGTAGATATTATATTTTGAGTTGATTTTTATATTTATCTGACGCGGAATTTTACCTGCATTGAATGATAGTCAAAACAATGGAACTAAAAGGTTAAAAGTTGAGAAAAACACTTTTTTGCCGTCCAGGGTTTTTCATATTTCTTTCTCGGCACCAGTCCTTCTATTGTGTCTATTTTGACTATCATTCGATGCAGAATAAAATTCCGCGTCGAATGATACCAAAAATTAACTTAAAATCTAATATCTATGCAAAGTTATGTGGCAAAAGGTCTAGTCTTGTCCAAAATCGGCGAGGTTTCGGTTTTTAGGCAATAACTTTGTGTGGATTTTAGATTTTGAATTAATTTTTGTATCATTCGACGCGCAATTTTATTCTGCATCAAATAATAACCAAAAAGTGATAATCTTTTATTTATAAAGCTAATAATACCGTGCATATCCGAAATCACAGAGTTTCGTTTGGGGGAAATTCGAGGAAAGCTCGGAAAGGAGCACGTTTTCCGGCTTTAGATCACAGTGAGCGATTCCCTGTAAAATTAAACACAAAATTCACATCGAAATACGAATAATAAAGCTAATAATAAAGCTACATTGTTTATTATCTTTTTTCAAACCTTTGCATGAAGATACCGAAGAGCGGAGAGGATTTGTAAGCTCAAGAACCGGGTCACGCGTTCGTCCAAGCGGCCAACGGCCTAAGATTTCCAAAATTGATATCAGATCTATCGAAAATAAAGAAAACTATTGATTTGATTTGATTGATTTACCGTATTCTCTCTAATAGTAGTGCACCCGGGCGAGCCGAGTTGGTGACTATTTTACGGTTTCCAAGCTTTCCCAGAAGCTCAACACTCAAATCATCGTCAAGATCTCATCGTCAGCTACATTTTCCGACCCCACATCGATAGGTTCTGATAAGCGGTTCTCGAGATTTCGATGAATTTAAGTGAAGCGGGAAAGCAGTCAAGTTGATGCAATGAACCGAAAGTTGCGTTTTGACTAAACAAAACCCAAGTTTTGTTGATTGATCGAGTTCTTAACGGTAGCTGAGCTAAGAATTTGATACTTAAGCCCTACGCTCTTTTAAAAATAGACCCAAAAGTCAGATTCTCCATAGCCGAAAACCCCTGGGAGCGCGCGCAAAGCTGAATACTGTATTTTCTGGTAGTGCACCCAAGCGAGCCGAGTTGATGACTATTTACGGCTTCCAAAGTTCTCCCAGAAGCTCAACACTCAAATCATCGTCAAGATCTCATCGTCAGCTACATTTTCCGACCCCACATCGATAGGTTCTGATAAGCTGTTCTCGAGATTTCGATGAATTTAGGCGATGCTCATGGTGCACTACTATTAGAGAGAATACGGTAGTTTTTTATCTATTTTTCTGTCTTTCTTTATCAACCTGTGAAAGTATCATCTCCAGCATGTCCCCATTCATTTTCTCCATCACCACGAAAATCTTGTCTTTCGTCTCAAACATTGACTCAAGACGAACAATGCCAGAATGGCTGATTGTCTAAAGGAAAAGATTAACTTTCGATTACTCTCTTTTAAGCTGTCTTTTAAGCTCTCTTTTAAGCTGAATATCTTTTAGTTTATTAATATTTTCAATAATGACAAGTAATGACAAGAACTTTCTTTAAGAATAATTTTGAAACGATTGATCTCTCCGATTGGTTTACTCTTCTTTTTGCGGGTAAAAATGGACTTTTAGCTTTACAAAAAGCTTTAGAACAAGCTTCACAAGCTCTACAAGCTCTACAAGCTCTACAAGCTCTACAAGCTTCACAAGCTCTACAAGCTTCACAAGCTCTACAAGCTCTACAAGCTTGACAACAAGCTTTACAAGCTTTACAAGCTTCACAAGCTTCACAAGCTTCACAAGCTTCACAAGCTTTACAAGCTTTACAAGCTTCACAAGCTTTGCAATAGTTTTATAAGGCTGAATATCTTTTAGTTGATTGACATTGATCAGCAATCACTGAGAAGAATATAAATGATTGTTGGACAAGAAAAAGATCACCTGCAAAATAGCGACTTCAGAGCGAAGAGTGTCCGCTCCGTTATTTGGCTTTTTCGAGAAACGCTCCTTTGAAATCACCTGAACTTGGGCTTTGTTTTCTATAGATTTTCGAATTAAGTTTACAGTTTTACACAATATACGAGAATCAAATCAAATTAAATCAAAACAAATCAAATCGAACCTTTACAGCCACTTCTCGGCCACTTTGTCGATGCACACCCGAATAAACAGTGCCGAATTGACCGGCTCCAAGCGTTTTCTCGGAGAGTACCTGGATTTATTTGATTTTAAAAGTGACTAGAAGTCTAGAAATTCTCAATCTTCTCTATATTCTCAATAATAAAAGTAACCCTGAGTTGATTTAACTTTTAGATCTTGAGTTATAGACCTTTTAAGTGGATCGATCCTTTCAAAGTAGGTAGTCTGACTTTGACTGAGATTTTCTCTATATTTTTATATTAGAGTTTACCAAGGAAGTTGTGGATTTCTATAACGAAATTTCATAAGGAACATTTTAAGACCAACCACAAGTTGATTGATCAACTGGAAGTTGAGATATGGAGGGAAAGAGAAGGGTCGTCAAACTCCGACTCTCTATCCCTCCTAGACAAATCTCTAGGGGAGGGTATTCTCAATATTCTCAATCTTCTCAATCTTCTCAATACTCTCAATATTCTCAATAACAATATTTTAATGTTTACTTGATAAAGCTCGGTGAATTGTAAGACTGGCTCAGCATTCACTGGATCATTTCTCGATGGTGGCGGTTGTAGAGCCTGAGCCAACACTGACAACCACACTTGACCGGAGGAGGATGATCTGGAAATGGCTTTTAATATATTTTAATATATTCCTCCATCTAAAAGCTTTTCAGATTGAGATATTAGATTTTTAATGTCAAAGAAGGTTTAGCCATTGGCAATCGAACTTTGAGCTTAAATTTCTTGGTGTTGAGCTGATCAATTTCGATAGTTTTTGTACCAATCGATAGAGGAGGACTTGGCGAATCTAATGATATCAAAACTATTTCAATCGAACAGCTCAACACCAAGATATTTGAGCTTAAAGATTGCCAATGGCAATGGCAAAGGTCGCCCCGCCACTTTTCCCATTGGCTAACTTTGTGCTTAAATTTCTTGGTGTTGGGCTGTTCAATTTAAATAGTTTTCGTATCAATCGATAGAGTAAAGACTTGGGATGTCTAATGATATCAAAAAAAATATACAAATTAAATAATTCAAATAGGTTATTAGACGTTTGATCCGTGGCACCCTCACCCCCTTTTCCAGGCAAGCTCACTCCTTGAGCTTAAAACAATCTCGGTGTTTATTTGTTCAATTTCGACAGCTTTTTGTACCAAATGATAGAGAAAGATGGGCGCGATTCCCACGATATCAAAAAAATTGTTATCAAACAGCCCAACACCAAGATATATTTTGAGCTCAAAGATTGCCAATGGCAAATGGCAAAAGGATCTCTGTCCCGCCAATTCTTCCCATTGGCTAACTTTAAGCTGCTTAAATTTCTTGGTGTTGAGTTTCTCGTTCACTCTCTGATAGTTTTTGTAGCAATCGATAGAGAAAGGACTAGGATTTCTCCACAAAAAGGGGCGGGGCTAGAAAGACCCTTTATACGCGTGAGCCCTCGTGCCCCCCTCGGTTATCCTCCCGGCAGCTCAAAATATCTCGGTGTTTATCTGGTTCAATTTCAATAGTTTTTTTATCAATCGATAGAGAGAAAGACAAGGCAAATTCCACGATATCGTAAAACTTTTTTAATCGAATTCCTCAACATCAAGATATTTGAGCTCAAAGTTAGAGTCCCAATGGCAAAAGGTGGAGTAGCCGAACATTTGAGACGCATTTGATCTTTATCTCGATATTTCTCGATAAATCCGGCATCCCGACGCGGTCAAGGCTTATGCCTCACTCGCGGAGTCGAAGTTTCTGGCTCACCTTGCAGCTTGTCCCCTCGGCACCCTCTGCTGTGGCGGCTCCTCCACAAGCGTCAAGCTTCCTCACTTCCAGACAGTTCACTTGATTCGTCGTTGTTCCTCATCTCGAAAACGTGTGGATGGAATCTGAATCTGAATGTGCCGATTATCAAAGCTCGTCTTCAAACACCAAAAACAAAGCTCACCAAACAAAGCTCACCTGGAATCGATCGGATTTCCATTGTATGGAGTGATAGCTAAGATCTCAGATAGGGGAATCTTTTTGTAACACCTCGACGTGTTCACCTCCCCCGACCCCTTCCGAGTATTCATTGTACATTGACAAGACATTGTTTGAGTAGAATCCAATAGTTGCGTAATCGTCTGAATCAATACAGCAAGATTTGTGCTGGGGGATTACAGTAAAGATCACAGTAAGATTACAGTAAGATTACAGCAAGATTACAGTATGATTACAGTAAGGTTTACAGTTAGATTACAGTGGGATTACAGTGAGCCCATAGTTAGATTACAGTTAGATTACAGTTAGATTACAGTAAAGATTACAGTTAGATTACAGCTAGATTTACAGTAAGATCTTTGCATAAAGATTACAGTAAGATTACAGTAAGATTACAGCAAGATTACAGTAAGATTACAGCAAGATTACAGCATATGATTACAGTAAGGCTCTACAGTAAGATTACAGGAAGATTAAAGTAAGGTTTACAGTAAGATTACAAAAAGGTTTACAGTTAGATTACAGTAAGATTACAAAGCAAAGATTACAGTTAGATTACAGTAAGATTACAGCAAGATTACAGTTGGGATTACAGTTAGATTACAGTAAGGTTTACAGTAAGATTACAGCAAAGATTACAGTTAGATTAGTGCTAGATTCGACTTCATTCAATCTCAACTTTCTGCCATTTATCTTTCATCGCAACTACACAAACCTTTCCGTGATCGTTGATAAAGAAGTGTGTATCACCCATCCCTCGTGTTTTTTTTTGGCAGCTGCCTGAGCTGCTGCTTGACCCGGAAAGCTGATTATGGTTTTGGCTTGATCTTTGGCTTGACTCTGGTGCTGACTAGATTGAAAATTAGCTCTTTAAAATTGAAAAAGAAAAAAATGCTCTAGTAAATGAAAAAGAATCCCCACCAGGTATCCGGCTAAGCGGTATTAGATCGTGGAGTCGATCGGATCCACTCTCACTTGGTCCTTCCTCAGGGGGTAAAGATGAGATTTCACTCAAGAAAATGGTGATTAGCTAGCTAGATGATTAGTTAGCTAGATGATTAGTTAGCTAGATGATTAGCTAGCTAGATGATTAGCTAGCTAGATGATTAGCTAGCTAGATTGGTTATATTAGTTAATATATTGTTCTGGATCGGTTCACGAAAGTCTTTGTGAAGATTTTTACGCCTTCAAAACCAACAACAGATAGCGCTGCTCGAAGGCGGTGATCGATCCCTCAGCAATGTGACAATTCGCGGGCAAAAGTCCGGCATTACCTTTTTTGTGGACATTCACCTAGAAATGTTTAGGGTAATCTATATTGTCATCTGTACTGTATCTCCGTAATTCTATCAAAATTCCTAGCGTCTCTTAGAAGAAAGATAGAAATGCAGCTCGTTTTCCATTTTTGAACGCATTTTTTTCGTCACTTGTTTATGCTATCAAAAAAGCTTGGGGGGGTGTGGCATTCGTGAATTCAGGGCTACTGTGTTTGATACCGTAAAAATGCCTCTTTAGAAATTATAGGCGCTTAGAAAAACATCGCGTATAGTCGTGTAGTCGCAAAAAAATTTTTTAAAATCATTTTTTTCTAAGCGCCTGTACTTTCAAAAAATGCGTCTTTGGTATCAAAAAATAGCCCTGAATTTCAGCTTTTATTTGATACTTAAGCGAGCATTGTAGCATAAACAGGTGACGAGAAGAAAAATGCGTTTAAAGCTGGGACGACGCGACGCTCCGCCTGTGGTCATTAGGGGGGAGCGCTACTAGAGGTATTACGGTATATTATTGTAGCCCCACATAATGATAGTCGAGTCCTCGAATTTTTCAGAAACAATATTTCTCAAAAGTTTTGATCAAAAGTTGTCCCGTGAAAAGTCATTTTTCAAGGATCACCCCACCTCTTCCTCCCAAGTTCTTTTTTTCTAGTTTTTTCTTACTAAGAAAAAGTCTTACTAGATGGTCTATAGCATTGTCTCCTCTAATAGCAAAGATCGCTTAGCTACTCTTCCAGACCTCGGAAACTTTCTCCAGATTTACTTTCGAAACATTGCTAATCTCAATGTTCCGATACTGGCAGACAGAGACTTGAGTTTTCAAAGGATGGCTTTGAATGTCGCAGGCTCGGTTCATGTCATCGAGTGGACCCTGGTAGACCGGTTAGTCCAGATGGGCTGGATTTCGGAGACTGGATAGGTCCAGATGGGCTGGACCTTTCTTGGAAGAGGCCAGCCAACTGGTCAGTGAAGCTTGGTCCCTTCCCTCTTTCTCTCCAACTTCAGATTTTTTTTCATGGACAACCGTTCATGTGATCTTCCACTGGTCCATCGGATCTTCCACTCGTCCATCGGATCTTCCACCGTGGTAGACAGAGACGCGGGCGCCCGGAAGCGGATGGTCTTCACCGTTGTCCTTCAATCGGGAAACATTGCTGCGCTTTCCAAGCCTGTCATTATCAAAACATCGATAAGCTCAAGCCTCGCTTTCCTTATTTGCCAAGCCATAGCTAAGTTTGCTAGTCAATTTTTGCTATTAAAGACAATGCTATGGACAATGCTATGGATCGCCAATGCTATGGATAATGCTATGGACAATGCTATGGACAATGCTATGGACAATGCTATGGACATCAATGCTATGGACAATGCTATGGACAATGCTATGGACAATGCTATGGACAATGCTATGGACAATGCGCTATGGGACAATGCTATGGGATTCAATGCTTTTTCATGGATTACCATGGACAATGCTATGGACAATGCTATGGACAACGCTATGGTTTTTTTTTTGGTAAGAAAAACACTGATGAAAAGGAAAGCATGAAACTCTGGGAGGAAGTCAAAAAAGGTGATTCTTGAAAAATGACTTTACTCTTTTACAACTTTAGTCAAAAGTTTTTTTAGAAATCGTGTTTCAAGTAAAATTGGGTCATCATTATATTGGACAGTGTTATTTATCAGCTTTCAGCTTACTTTACAATCCCTGTACTGCATTCCTTTGCTTCATACAATGAAATAGCATTTTAACAAAAAACTCAGAACAAATTGTGATTAAAATACAATAAGAATAATCAAATTTTAAACGAATCAAAAGCGTAAAATCCACATCAGCATTTGGCCCCACCTTGAAGACAGTTAACGTTTTGTAGTTGTGGAACGGCAAAAAAGTATGCGGTAAAGCATAGGTGAGGTGGTGATGATGGATGATGTTGTTGAGATGGAGATGGGGACCCTTCTAAAAATTATGAGATTGAAGCCAGCTTTACTCTCTTTGCTCTAATTGAATCTAGTTTTACTTTCTTGTTCAATACAGGTTCTCTAAAAATACTGCAGTGCTTTAAGACATTAGGACAAAGACAAAAGTAAGATATAGAAGCAAAAGTTGGAAGAGAATCTATTAGGGTTGTTCGATGACCGACTTCGAATATATAAAGTTTATGTCTACTTTACTTATCAGCCAGTTTACTTTACGACTTCAACCAGCAGCAAAACAGTAGCGGAATCTCAGTAGTTTCGGCTTTTAAAATTTGTGTGTTCTTCGCGCGGCCGCAAAATCGCTCGTCGCCCGGCGCAGGGCCTTTACATAACCCCCTTCCCTCTCCTTTTGCTAAAAAATAATCTGGCCGGCTCCGAATCCTCAAATTGGACATTGACCTTTCCGCAAATTGTGACATTGACTTCTCAACTCACCAACCCAATATATGCCCGTTCGCTTCTTTTTACTTTACGACTTCAAAATTGGGCAAAATAGTAGCGTGAATCCTATTGAGATTTCCAGTCAAAGCATTTGGCGGGGATGTATTGTTTGTGAGCCGATGCCGAGCCTGGTTCCAACGCCTCGTGGGAATTGATGATGGAAAGTCCTCGAGTGGATGATGAACTCGCTTTTGCCCTGAGGTCTGGTCGACCTCAAACGGTAAACAACGATATTTGGCGTGGCTGCAATCGAATCAGATCCACGCCAAACGACGTGGCGTGAACTTCCTGCCCCCAAAAGTTTATACGGTTCAAATTTACTCCATCTCCATTGGAAAGATTTGATCTGACGCGGGGAATGTGTTGGGGTATTGAAACCGTACTAGATCAAAATAGGAACCGTATTGAAACTCTGTATTAGATCAATGCTTCCCCTCACGAGTTAAGCGCAAAGCAAACCCGCTCTCGTTTATATCCGAATGTGGTCGGCCAGGATAGACAGTGATGTATCAAGCCAGTCACATGCTCGATCTATCTGTCTCATCTAATCTAGTAAATTCCTCGCTACATATAACTTGGCTTCAGTTACAAGTTACTTCGTGTTAACCGCGAGTTTTAAAACCCACCATTGATATGGGGTAAATTCCCATTTTTGTAAATTGACGGCGCAGAAGCTCGTCATCTGATGAGCTCAATGTTGGTGGGCAAAATGGGGTATTCTTTTTGCGCAATTGTTTCTCGAGGCAAAGGCAACACTTCTTGTGGAAATTGCATCTAAAATCAAAAATCTTTTCCAGGGTTTACTCTTCCTTTTCTTTTAAACCTTTCCTTTTCTTTCAACTCCTTTCTCTCCCTTTCTTTGTTTCCTCTTTTTCTTCCTTTTTCTTCCTTTTGGTTTCCTTTTTGATTGGGGTCAATTGATACAAGCTTTTGCTCTACCCGGTATCGCTGACATTGAAGTCCCCTGTTTGACGAGACCCATCAAAATCTCTTCACAATAGTCGCTTAAGGTTATGCTTTAAATAGGTATTCACCTAGAAATCGTTTGTGAATTAACAAAGCCTGACTTTTATGCTCTCACCTCTTCCACAATGAGGCACCTGAGCCGGTTTCTCATTTCGATCCACCATAATCACTTCCAACAACACCTATCACTACTTCCTAAAATTGAGTGTTGAATTTGGCCTCGTATTGATTGAATTGGATCCTGAATTTAAATTCTGAATTTTAATACGGGAATTTAATTTAATTTAATATTGAATTGGAATCGTGGATATTGAATATTGAATTCCTTTGGCTATTCAAAGCTTTACCACTTCAAAGTGGCAGTGATGCAATTTAGTGATGTTGAAGGATCTTGGTGGTGAGAGATAATCGTGACGAAACAAATGCAATTTTTTCTAGAATTTTAGATTATAAAAAAAAAGTTATTGTTTTGTTTTGTTTTTGTTTTTGTTAAAATTAGCAAATTCTGCCACCTGTACTGAATCAAATTTTTTTCCGGGGTCTTCTGATTTTTCTCTCTTCTCTGATATCAAAAAGAATTTTCTGTTCTCTGGCTGTGGTTTTTAATTTAGATATAGGAACAAAGGAAGACGGAGGTGATAATCAACAGGGATATTTGGGAATAGAAGTTGGCGGCCCTCGACTACTTGCAAAGATGTCACGAAAGCTAAATTCTGTTCGCCACCCAAAGGCTGTTCGCCACCTCTGCCGTTAGCACACCCAAGTCGAGCTCAACACTAAGGTGTTACATCTGTTCAAAGAAGGCGGACAAGTAGTCAAGGAAGCGCTAAATTACGAGCGAAACACATTGCTTGGTGGCGGCTGACGATGACCCAAAAGATTTTTGAAATCGCTGGAAAGCAGTTGAGAGGATCAAAAGGCCCAGACGGGCGAGGACGGTGATGCTAGCGGCTTTCGCTGAGTTTGGCCATTCTCTGTCAAGTTTTTAATTTAGATATAGAAACAGTATTTGAAGATGGAGGCACAATCAACTGCGGCTGGAAAAGCATCTAGAACAGGTGCTGACGGCCTCGATCACTTTTGTTTTTGGTAT